GCACCGGAGCCAGAGTGAGGTCAGAGCCGGCAGCCCCTCCACCTCAGCCCGACCGGGGTCCCAGCTGCAGCCACCGCTACCGCCGCCATCTTCCGCTCCACTAGCGTGTTCCGGGCCCCCCCGGCAGCGCCGCCCCCTTTATGGCCACGCCTCTAGCCCCACCCACGACTCGCGGCTCATGCTCAAGCCCCACCTCCTGGGCTCGGTGCCCTATGCAGTCACAGAGGTGGAGCGTGCGCAGAGGATGTGGACACAATGTCTCCTGGGAGTTGTAGTCCAGGAGTTGTAGTCGTTCTTTGCTTCGCTGCCTAGCATCAAGGACCTAGGAGGATTCCCCGGACGCCAAACCTAAGTACTGAGAATTACAGGTGGGTACTTGAAAGTTTTCTCCCTTGTTTTAACCATATATTTTAAAGGCTGTTGTTCTAAACACCACCAATGTTCTTTTAGAGGAAAACGTGAAAGAAACTATGGGGTTACGTGTTATTATTTTGTAGTATATATACTAAGAAACTGAAGTACACAAATTTCGTGACACCTCCAGAACTTATATATTGGAAAGGTTTAGGGGCGGCAGTCTGTTTGGAAAGAAGAGCTGTTTTGCATAATATTTAGGAAATTCGAGAAAATGTTATCTGTCCCTATTAACATGATGATGGAGATACAGGCATGGCCATTGAAGACTTGTCATACAGAAGTGTTTTAGACTTTGTAGATGGTTCTGCCAAATGGGGAATAAAAAATTCCAGCCCCCATTTTTTTGCTCCAAATCTTAATTTTCTTGAGGGTCCACCTGGGTAAGCAGGTCTTCTCCCCACCTCTGACTTGGGCACTCAGAGAGGTCATGCAGTGCCAAAGACTTGCAAAGATGACAGGCCGCCTCTCTCCTCCTACAGCTGCCATCCCTTCTCGTCAAAAGGACAACCTTGGCAAGAAAGGCAGTCCCTCCCCTACTTTTTTTTTTTAAACGTCTCAGCCTACCCTTAACAAAGACATCACAGTTGCCTTCTCCAGATTTTGACTAAGCAATCTTCTGAAATGATTTAGGTTGAATAATAACTAAATTTAATGAGGGAGTTTGTAATCTAGTGGGAAGATTAGCTCACCAAATATGTGTTACATGTTTGTATGGGTATATGAGTACATTCAGATTACAGACCATATTAGTGAAACGGTAAACAATCTAGCACCTGCATACCTCTTCATCCTCTTTGGTACTGTGCCCCGTTCACTAACTGGGCTCTAGCCATGCTCACAGCTGTCTCAGGACCTTTGCTTTAGGCCTTCCTTCCACCCACTAGATTGTAATTCCATTACCTAAGGTTCCTGTGTTCTTTCTTACTGTATCCCCAGAACATATGCGCACACAGTAAACACTTTAGTAAATAAATGAAATAATGAATAAATATTTCACTAGATCCCAAGCTCCCCAAAGGCAAGGATCATTTGCCATTGTATTATTAGAACTAAAGCAATTTGTAAATGTTGAATTAAAGAAGGCGTAATTGAATAGGAACCATAAATAATATAAAAATTGTATTTGCTGAATAAAGGAATGATTGAATGAAAGGGTTCACAAATAAAAGGAAACTGAGATTTGAGGCAAGTGATCTAATTTGGAATAATTTTTCTTTTTATTGAAACATAAACTCACCCGGAAGCACTGGTCCTTTTCCAGTTCACTTTTGACAGAACTGCAGTCACTCTGCGGAGTCCCATCTCATTCTTAAATGACTCTTTTTTATACCTGTCTTAATACATCTAAAGACCTGCCAACCATCCACTCCAAGCACATTCCATTATTCCTGTTATCATCATCATTAAACACTTCTGCGGTTCACAGTGTGCTAAGTATATGTTTCTGTCCTTTGAGCTTTCATCAAAATGGGCCTGAAGAAATCACTTCACATAGTGAGTGGCATTTTGTCAAATATGTAGACCAAAAAAAAAAAAAAGATCATTTATTGGATAAAAAATACAGCAATCCTAGGAATGCAATCACACCTTGCCTTTTTTTATGACCCACAGGAATTGGAGTGCACCTAGAAGAGGGGGTGGAGCTTTGCGGAACCTCAACTTGGCATTTATGTCTATGCCAGCTGTGCTAAAGGTTGTTCTTTTTAAGCT